AATCTTAAGTCCATACAATAATAGTTTTTGTGCATGTGCAGATGAGTTATTTTTTATAGTCGTATGTAGAATAGAATTATACTGATAGAACATATATGTATTTTAATACAGCAATTCATGGTTTTAAATTGCATTTCGTAGTTAATTGATCATTAAAATCTTATGAAAAAGAATAGAAACGTTTTTCTCATTGGCTATAAAAAAGTATAATTAAAAATTGTTTGCAAAAAGATTCAGCAAAGTTAAAAATCATCGATCTAAAAATATGTCTTCACGGACACAAAAACAAAAGCAATCGTGTAACTAAATTTGTCGAGAGCACTCAAACGAAACTATTTTTTCGCTGGTACCGAAACGAAAATTACTTTTTTCACCGATTTTTTTTAAGAAGACCAGTCCTCATGACTGGTAAGTTTGCAAGGCAAATGTTTTGTTTTGCAATTCTTAGTAGGCACAGATTAAAGTAGAAATCTGAGGTTTCGACAATTAGTTTCCGGATTTTTGATCAGATTTCGAAGCCATTTTAGTGTTGCCTCTATTACGACAGCAAATATTGATTTCACGTTCAGAGCGTTTGTAAATATTCGCTCCGAAGATTTCTTTTAGGATGAAATACGTATAAAATGTGTTGTGGAATTCAATTTTAGATTCCCCATGTCTCTAATTACATCTTTATAAACGTCTGTTTTGTCTTGCAGTTCTTAGAAGGTACAGATTAAAGCAGAAATCTGAATTTGGTTTCGACAATTAGTTTCCGGAATTATGACCAGATGTCGCTATTGTTTTCGTATCGAAGCCATTTTAGTGTTGCTTCTATTATGACAGGAAAGATTGTTTTTACGTTCAGAGCGTTTGTAAATAGCCGCTCTGAAGATTTCTTTTAGGATGAAATACGTATAAGCGGATATACAGACGCACTATACATGATATCAAATCTTAACTGTCTTTCCTTTTCTTTCGATATACTCTTTATGAGTACTAGAAACCAATTAGCCAAGGATTTTTGCTTAGTTGAGAAGATATGTTGTGAAATACAATTTTAGATTACCCATGTCTCTAATTACATCTCTATCAATGTCTGTTTGGCCTTTCAATTCTTAGAAGGCACAGATTAAAGCAGAAATCTGAATTTGGTTTCGACAATTATTTTCCGGATATATATATATATATATATATATATATATATATATATATATATATATTATATAGTTTGAGTTTAGTTCTTGAACCTTACTATATATTTTTTAGTGGATTTTCTTGGACTTAAGTTCATAAAAAAATTAATTTGATACTAAGACATTTTTATATATTTTTTTCGACGTTTCGGCAGGAAATCCATGCCTTTTTCAAGAAGTAATATTGACTAAAAAAACATTTTATGATAGACACATTCAAAAGGAGTGTGCCGCTGCAACCTATTGTTTCATGCATTCAGTCTGCTTTTGAAAACCTTTCAAAATATTTGAAGAACATTATTTTCAACGTAATAAATAAAAATCCACACTATTTAAAAGACGCTGATCACCTGAAATTAAAACTCAAAAATATACATTTACCTCCAAATTATAAATTAGTTTCTCTGGATGTGGTATCTTTATACACCAATATTCCAATAGCTTTAGCGAAAGACATTATTAAAAAAAAGTGGAATGAAATTAAAGCGTTCACAGACATTTCTCTAGAAGAATTTCTGCTAGCAGTTGAAACAACATTAAAGTCAATCTATTTCCAATATAAAAACAAAATCTTCCAACAACCAGATGGATGTGCTATGGGTGCTAGCATATCCAGTGCCATCGCTCAATTAGTTTTAGAGCATCTAGAGGAAATTGTTTTAAATAAAATAGATTTTGATATACCTTTTTTCTATCGCTATATAGATGACTGCTTGAGTGTAACACTAGAGGATAAAATGGATACTTTACTAAATGAGTTCAATAACTTTCACCAAAAATTAAAATTCACATTAGAAATTGAAAAAATTTATCAAATTAATTTTCTGGACCAGACCTTACATAGAGAAAACAGCACTATAACTACTTCATGGTACACCAAAAAAACCTGGTCGTCGAGATATCTGAATTTCAACTCTCATCATCCCCTGTCTCAAAAGAAATCAGTAGTTATCGGACTCGCCAATAGAGCTATTAGATTATCCGATCCTATCAATAGACTTCAGGCCATTAAAAAAGCAAAAACAGCACTAAGACTTAATTCATACCCACACCACCTTATCGACAACACTTTCAAATCGCGACTGCATAAATTTTACAATAACAATAATAACAATGAAACCAACACTGTAAAGAAAAACTATATGTCTCTCCCCTATATAAAAATATTATCAGAACAAATTGCAAATCTTCTGTCTAAACATAATATTACGGCTGCTCATAAAGGGCACAATCTTTTGAAAAGGAATTTTACAAGATTAAAAACAAAAACCCCTCTATTAAAAAGATCGCTTGTTATATATGAAATTCCCTGCTCGAATTGTGATGGAGTTTATATTGGATAAACCAGTCAGCTACTTAACTCAAGAATACGTTCCATAAACTCACGTTCCCTCAACCGCCCTCACAAAACATGAAAACGAAAAAAAAAAACATAAATTTTGATTTTGAGAAAACCAAGATCCTAAAAAGTGAGCCCAATAGGAAGAAGAGAGAATAAAGAGGAATAAATGATAAAAATATGTCAAAAATTTGAAAAAAATATATTTTAACTTAATTTAAAAACACATAAAAAGACAATCTCAGAACGCCTATGATGTTAAAATAACTGATTGTTTAAACGATAAACTAACATCAATAAACAACACAGATTTAAAATACATTTTACATGTAGTGACTTAGTGGGTATGTCCTATGCTTTTAATATTATTTTAATTGTGACGTCTACTTGTTAGTACCGAATTTTTACATGCTTGGTAAGTCAAAAGTTTAACTTTTAAACCGCATTATGTCTGTCATAAAATGTTTTTTTAGTCAATATTACTTCTTGAAAAAGGTATGGATTTCCTGCCGAAATGTCGAAAAAAAGATATAAAAATGTCTTAGTATCAAATTCATTTTTTTTTATGAACCTAAGCCCAAGAAAATATATATATATATATATATATATATATATATATATATATATATATATATATAATCATTATCAAATACGTTACTACTAATCCAAAATACAATAATTATAGAGATATCTTAAAGTAACTTCAATTTGAATAATGTATAAGTCCACAGTCCAAAAAAGAACCTACAGCACACGCACAAATCACTATAATTAAAAATATTTCGTACTTGTCCTTTGCCTTTTTCTCATTTATTACAGTAGTTAAAACCAGAACATACCAAAATATATTAAAAGTAAGGAAAGGCATATAGGCCAAAAGGTATTTGCGCCAGACTTAAAGAATGTTTCCTCTCCTGTTTATGTACTCATCAGTGTTATCTACATTTCTTTACACTTTTTCACTTTTTTCTCATGTGGTTTTTTAAATTAATTATGATTTATAACTGGGAATAAGCCACAATTAAAGATAAAAATACGTTTATTGACGTTTCAATTTCCAATTCGGAAATCGTTCTCAAAATACAAATAGTAAATTAAACAAATTTTGTTTTTTTGTTACATAGTAAAAAAATTCTTCTAATAATTTAATTTTATCTGACTCATTTATATTGACAATTCAGACATACATTATGCATTTTAAAGTAGACGACTTTAAAATGATATTGCCAATATTGTTGAGTTGCGCTCCTGGGACGACTTTACTTATAAGATAGTTCATTCGATTACATGAAATCAACTTTAACTTGAGAATATCCGTCAGAAAAAATCATAGCATGTAATTCGTCGTTAAAAAGACAAACACATGACATGATGACAGTAAAATTCTCCTGTTAGTGATTCCATAGTAAATTATGAGGGAAAAACCAGGAAAAAAACCTCATAATACTATCCCGACATTGTAAGTATTTGTTCGTGAATTTAGTTTACCTTCAACAAACATCAAAATTCTGATTTTATATGTTACGTTATTTAAAAAACATAAATGATGTATCCTCTATATGTTACTGACTTACTAATACTGGTATTTTCTTATTAATAACTTCCTCTTTCAATATTGGTAACCAGATCCTACTACATTCTGCCGAGGAATTTGCGACACAATTGGCCTCATTTAACATAATTAGAGCCGCTTCTTTGATTTTTCTTTTTTTACCATCCGTTTCTTTTAGGACTATATTTGAATTATTCCATTGAACCCTATGTTCATTATCCCATGCGTGTTTACATATGTGTTTATATCATGTCATGTGTTTGTCTTTTTAAAGACGAATTACATGCTATGATTTTTTCTGACGGATATTCTCAAGTTAAAGTTGATTTCATGTAATCGAATGAACTATCTTATAAGTAAAGTCGTCCCAGGAGCGCAACTCAACAATATTGGCAATATCATTTTAAAGTCGTCTACTTTAAAATGCATAATGTATGTCTGAATTGTCAATATAAATGAGTCAGATAAAATTAAATTATTAGAAGAATTTTTTTACTATGTAACAAAAAAACAAAATTTGTTTAATTTACTATTTGTATTTTGAGAACGATTTCCGAATTGGAAATTGAAACGTCAATAAACGTATTTTTATCTTTAATTGTGGCTTATTCCCAGTTATAAATCATAATTAATTTACAATGCCACAAGAAAATAGCTTCAGAACAATATTAAGAAACCGTTATGGTTTTTTAAAGTTCTGTGACATCTTTTATAATATTTGTTATTTTCACCGTTAAACAAACGAATTTTGTCGTGTATTATTAAAAATATCGTCGACATATTCCTTTTATCGTCTTCACTAAGTGTACTAGGAGGCTAAGTAGCTCAGAGGATCTGAGGTAATGGAACGATTATATGTGGTAATATAGATATACAGTACTATTGACTTAGCCTGTTACTAAATTGTAAAAAGCTAACCATATATTTGAAAAATTTAGGATGAAATAAAACAAATATTAGTAATGAATCGTGTTCATTATTGATTCTAACTAATTAAATATCTATAATACAAAACAAAAACATTAAAAGTCATAAATAAAAACAAATATTATTAATTACAGCGGTCATCTAATGATTTTACTTAAATTATGCCTTGAGTTGACGATTCCTTGGTTCTAATCTGATCTTGAAACCTTCTGCCCTCTTTAGGATGATATCAGCTTGGAGGAGGAAATCCTTTTCTTTTAAGTCTGATTTGACTCTGTAGTGTCTTAAGATGGTAGATAGAAGAATTTTCAGTTTCAACATGGCGTATTTACGACCTGCAACGAAAAATATGTTAATAAAGATTCAATAATTATATTTATTATTAAGGTGTAAATACTTGTGTCTCAGCAGATACATTAATAGCGAAGCAGTTTTATAAAATAAAGCTTTCTGATAAATCTGGTTTCGAACTAAAACAAATAGTTTAAGAGAGTGGCTGACAATAACAAGATAACCTGGATGTAAGTGAAAGAATATAATAAGGTTAGGAGAACTGTTAAAACAGGCCTGAACTCCGCATTGATTAACTTTGGCTTGTAGAGAAACGATTGGTTTGCCGACGTTTCAGCAAGATCATACTTGCCATTGTCAAGTCTAAATGTTCGAAAAGAACTTGAAGAACATAGGGGGATTTTATTTCTCCCCTGAATATGTTGCTAACTGCTTATTGAAGCAGTACCTTCGATTTTGGTTCTATGTAGTTATAATAAAATAAAATTGGTTACCTTATATTTTGGCGATCACACTCTCGTAATTACTTTAAATTACACTTAATAATTAAAACTATATTTTTTTTTATATAACACAAAATCTTTTGTGGAGAAAATGAACGATTTATTTTAAAAGTGACAAATATTAGAGAGTTATTAAAAATTGACAAATATTAGAGTAATGTCAGAAATTATAGAATGACTGTTGTCGACGTCATAAAGGTTAAGAAGGGAATTTCTCGCAATTATGTGCAGCAAATAGAAACAGCATCTGTCTTGCATTATCGGCAATTCGACCTATGAATTTTTTAGGTTGCGATATGCAACATAGTCCCCCCTTGATGTGAACGCATCAAAAAGAAAAAAAAAAAAAAAAATGTTTATGTACAATTTGAAGAAAGGTATAACTAAAACTAACAAACTATTAATATTCTTGAAGGTGAGTCATAGGAAGAGGACACAGTTTAGCAATAGAGCGAACATATAAGCCTTCAGGAGTTCTGACCTTAACAACTCTTACCTTGTTGTCCTTTCCCGGATATGTCTCAACTACCCGTGCTATAGGCCATTTGAGAGGAGGCGAGTTTTCGTCCTTAAGCAAGACGAGATCACCAGGCTTTATGCCTACCTGAGGAGTGAACCATTTAGGTCTATTTTGCAGCCTATTAAGATAATCGCGGGTCCAAACCTTCCACATATGCTGCTGAATTCTTGTGCATTTATTCCACAAAGACAATTTATTTTCTTGAATATCAGAAAGATCTGATTCAGGATAAGACATTAAATTAGATCCAATAAGGAAGTGTCCGGGAGTAAGAAAGGAAAAATCGGAAGGGTCATCTGAGAGCGCACAGATAGGGCGTGAATTGAGCACTGCCTCGATCTGCGAAAGTACAGTGGATAGTTCTTCGAAAGTAAAATTGGAGTTACCCATTATTCTTACGAGATGGTATTTGAAGCTCTTTATGGCAGCTTCCCAAATACCACCGTGGTGTGGTGAGCGTGGAGGGATAAACTTCCATTGAATTTGACACGAAGTAGCGAAAGAGCGAATAGATTCAGAGGTATCACCTTTAAGAAGCAACTCATAAAGTTCTTTCAATTGGTTTTTCGCACCTAGAAAGTTTGTGCCATTATCGCTGAAAATGATATTCGGATTACCCCTTCGGGCGATAAACCTTTTCAGAGTCAATAAGAACGCTTCAGTAGAAAGACTGGAAATTAATTCCACATGCACGGCGCGAGTAGCTAAACATACAAACACTGCCATATAGGCCTTAGTAAGGGGAGCTCTCTTGAGTTTAGAGGTCTTGATGGGAAACGGACCACCAAAATCAACTCCAACATTTATAAATGGACGTGCAATTTGAACTCTTTCCCTCGGGAGATTAGCCATGATTTGAGACGCGACTTGTGCGTTAAAACGGTAACAAGTGAGACAATTTTGTATTATACGTTTGATTTGTCGAAGACCATCAAAAGGCCAGAATTTCAATCTAACATTAGACAGTGTATTTTGAGGGCCTGAATGTAGAAGTCTTCGATGTTCTCGGGTAAGTAATAAATTGACAATATGTGATTTTGAGGGTAACAGTAGAGGAAATTTCTGATCATAAGGAACATCTGAAAGGAGAAGACGACCGCCTACTCGTATCATTTGAGACGAATCTAGAAAGGGATTCAATTTACAAATAGACTTATCTTTAAGCAGACGATTATCCATTAAAAATTGGATTTCCGAACTGAAGAAATGTGACTGGGTCAATTTGATGATCATTAACTCAGAACTAGAGAGTTCATGTGGAGTGAGAGGACCTGTACGTCTATGAGACTTAGCTCTTACATTGTGAATAAAACGAAGGCAGTATGCAAAAACTCTCTGAAGTCGAGTGAAACATGAAAATTTGCAGAGGGCATCATATACTTGTGAATCTGGTTTTCTGATCAGATGAGTAACCCTTTTGAGTTCAGGCAGTTCATCAACATTAATACTCGAAGGACCATTAGATACAAAGAGGTTGAAATCAAAGTGTGGATCTGACAAAAATTGAGGACCATTAAACCAAAAATCACAATCAAGCAACTGCAAGGGTGTAGCACCACGAGATAATATATCCGCGGGATTGTCTTTCGATCGTACATGTCTCCATGTATGGTTGGAAGTGAGTTCTTGAATTTGAGTTACTCTATTGGATACAAAGGTAGACCAACGAGAAGGGTGTGATTTAATCCATGCGAGGACGATTTCTGAATCTGTCCATAAATTGACAGAATTTATCTGAGATTGGGATGGAATCAAGACAGAAAGAATCTTCGTAACAAGATTAGAGAGTAATAATGCTCCTAGAAGTTCTAATCGAGGAAGAGTCACAACTTTTACAGGACTAACACGACTCTTTGAGGAGATTAGATTGCAAGATATAAAGCCATTTTCATGTGACGTTCTTAAATAAACACAAGCACCATACGCGCTAAGACTTGCATCCGAAAACCCATGTATTTGAGTACTTGTTACATTGCTAGAATTTTGCAGCAACCTAGGAATCTTGAGATTGGAGATGTGAGGAAGTGTTTGTAAAAATAGATTCCATTCGGTAAGCAATTTTGGACTGAGAGGGTCATCCCAATTCGACCTTTCTAACCAAATCTTTCTCATAATTAATTTGGCAGATACCACTAAAGGGTTAATCAATCCTATAGGGTCATAAATGGAAGCGATTAAAGAGAGAACTTCTCTTTTTGTATATGTATCCTTAACGGTAACCTTTGGCACAAGAACTGAAAAATGATCGGAGTGAAAATTCCAACATAGGCCGAGAATTTTGTTCGTGTGATTGTCAGGATTGATTACATAACTAGCTTCATTAGAGATATGAGAAATACCTGCGAGAAATTCAGGTGAGTTTGCACACCATTTATGAAGCGAGAAGCAAGCGAGGTTTAAACATTCCGTTAATTGACGATGAATTTCGAAGAGTGTTTCGAAATCGTTACAGCCATAAAGCACATCATCGATATAACAGCAATTTAAAAGAGCTTCACTAGCCAAAGGAAATTTGTCGGAATTGTTTTGAGCTAATTCCTTAAGACATCTAGTGCTAAGAAACCCGGAGTTATTTAATCCATAAGTGATAGTTTCGAGTTGAAGACATTTCAAATCCTCTTGAGGTGAATCACGCCACAAAATGTTCAACAGAAAAACCTGTTCGGGATTTACTCGAATTTGTCTGTACATATGACGTAGATCTGCTACAATACAGTATTTAAATAATCTAAAATTTATCAAAATATCGAATAATTCGCGTTGTACCGTATAACCAGGAAGCATTATGTCATTAAGACTTAGATTTGAGGTAGTTTTCATACTGCCATCAAAGACGACACGCAACTTATTTGTTACGCTATCCTTTAAAACGCAATGGTGAGGAATAAAATATTTTAAATCAGAGTGAATATTTCGAGTGGAGAGAGGCACATATCTGCAATGTCCAAGTGCAATATATTCATGAATAAATTGTTTATACTGTACATATAATTGATCTGACTTGATCAGTTTCTGTTCGAGGTTTAGGAATCGCTTCTTTGCGAGGAAAAACGATTCGCCCAATTTTTTATATTCGTTGGGAGATTTGAAAGGGAGATCTACTTGGAATCTACCAGATGATAATATTTTAAGTGACGATTTAAAAATGTCTTCGGCCTGTTGCTCCGAAGGAGTTAGGATTTTTGGAGTACAAGTAAAAGACGAGATTTCTTCTACTTCCCAAAACGACCGTACGAGTGAATCGGTATTTTGAGCTTGAACGAACAAGGATACTTCATTTCGAGGTTGAGTATTTTCTTGAATATTAAGTATGGAATATGAGTCAATTAACCCAGAGGATTGAGGTACATTTCCACCTACAAGATATCCGAGATGAGTATTTGTTAAGGTAGGAAGATTAGGGCCTAATTTTATTAACCCATAAGTGAGTAAGTCGAAATAAACATCTGCTCCAAGCAACATTTGAACTTCGGCAGGAGTACAAAATTCTGGATCAGCCAGGTGAATGTTTGGTGGAATTTTGAGGGCATTAAAATCCAATGTAATTTGAGGGTGCTTACAAGTGATGGTTGGGAGAATCGCACAAGAGAGTGTAAAATGTTTTGTGGGATTGACATTTGAGAAAATATTTAAATCCACCATTTTATTCGACGTCGAACAGATTTCGGATATCCCAGAAATGTGAAGACTTTTTGTGTAAGGAATACATTTCAAGCGACTTGCTAATTTCTCAGTGATAAACGAAAGCTGACTAGCTGAGTCTGTAAGGCAGCGAACCTTAACGGGATTATTATGAGAATCATAAATTGTAACACATGCTGTTTGGAGTAGAACCTCCTTTTTGCCTGAGAGTGCAGAGAGAGATGATGCTCGGTAGACATCATTAGACTGACATTGATTTGCTATTCGTGGAATTGCAGGAGAACTTGAAGTTTCGCCTTGAGTATTGGGATCACGAGATACATTAGAGTGAGTACGAGAATTTGAAGTATCATGTATATTGTGAGTCTGGCGAGTATTTTGAGAATTACGATTTCCTTGTGAGTCTTGAGAGTGACGAGTATTTTGGAAGTGAGTGTTTCTAGTGGGTAGACTACAAGAATCTTGATTTGTTCTTGAAATGAACCGAGAACTATTTGAGTTATGATTAGAAGCGTTAGAGAAATGGAGCAATGTGTGATGTCTCCTGTTACATTTGGCGCAATTCGACGAAGAGGTACATGAGCTTGCTGAATGACCACTAGCCAAGCAGTTGAGACACGCTTTCTTTGCCTTGACCGTTTGAAAACGGTCATCTTCAGACATATTTAAGAATTCCTGGCAAGTGTATATTTTATGAGAGTTATTTTGACATAAGAAACATTTAAAATACTGATTATTACTACTATACTGCAAATTATTGCTAACTGTGTTAAGAGAAGTAAAACGAGAAAGTTGTTTTTGTTTCGGAGAATGGGAATACTCAGGAGCAAGATTTTCGAGAATTTTGCATTTTCTTTCAATAAATTCAAGGAACTCCAATAAACTTGGGAGTTTGTTTATATTACGATCGGTTTCAAATGATCTTTTAGTATTATAGTCTAATTTTTGAGTAAAGAGATTGATGAGAATTAAATCAGTGAGTTGATTCGAGATGTTGAGGTTTTCTAAGGCGGCGAGATGGCTTTTAATTTGAGTTAAGAAATCCCTTAGAACATGTGCATTGGGTTTTGTAATGAGTGGAGCATTTAATAAACTGTTCAAATGGCTGTTTACTATTAAATATTTATTTTCAAATCTATCGCATAAATTTTTTATTGCAATTTCGAAATTGGAATCAATTATTTCTAGATTGTCAATTAACTTTAACGGTTCATTCCTTAACACTGATTTGAGATAAATAAGTTTTTGAGCATTAGATAACTGTTTATCATTTGTTATTAATTTGGTAAAAACTTCAAAAAAACTGGGCCATTCTGATATTTCGCCCGAGAAAAAAGGTATTTTTAATTCTGGCAACTTTACATTTTGAATTGTGCTGACAGATGGTGTTACATTTGTTACAATAGGTTGAGTTTCAACTGGTTTTGCAGATAATTGCGTGATTTTCTCGTGCAAATATGAGTCTAAATTATAATACTGTTCTTCAACTATGTCCCTATCTGAACAATATTTATCAAAATCTTCTAATTCAAGTTCCTCTTGTAAGTTGAGATACTTGCGATAAGTTTCATTTAATACATTTTTGCGTGCAATATATTGACCGCAATCTAAAACTACATTTTGGTTTTTTGAGACAAATGTTTGAATTCTAGTAATACAAGCTTTAGTATGCCCTCTTAACTTTATAATTTTTGCAACATCAGTCATTTTGAGCGTGAGAAAAAATAATACAAATTTTAAATATAACAAGAGATACTTAGTATTAAGAACTAAATAATATTACCATAAAAATCTACTTATAAGCACTGCGAATCTAAAAATAAAATAAAATAACATGCGACGATACAAAAAACCAATTCGTAAAAGTTACAATAAGTGACCAAACCGCACAGTCCAACCGCGACCGAAACATAAAACTTCTTATCCCTTCAAAGTGACGAAACCAAACCTTCCGGACGGCGCCAATACGAAAAACCTTGGATCGTGGAACCGCCAAAACTGCGATGTGTGAATATGAAAGAATAAAAACTATGTCTTTTCTTTGCGAAGAAATGAGGAAACGAGTGATTTTTACGAATAATGTGAGAGAATCTTGAGAATTCTTGCGTGAAAGCGTCTTTGTAGAGACGAGAAATGATCGCCTTCGTGGTTTATCAATGAAAAATCCAGCTTCCAGCTTTACAAAGACGGGAACAGCTGCTGTATCCGGCTCGTTAGGATCATGAAGAACATAGGGGGATTTTATTTCTCCCCCTGAATATGTTGCTAACTGCTTATTGAAGCAGTACCTTCGATTTTGGTTCTATGTAGTTATAATAAAATAAAATTGGTTACCTTATATTTTGGCGATCACACTCTCGTAATTACTTTAAATTACACTTAATAATTAAAACTATATTTTTTTTTATATAACACAAAATCTTTTGTGGAGAAAATGAACGATTTATTTTAAAAGTGACAAATATTAGAGAGTTATTAAAAATTGACAAATATTAGAGTAATGTCAGAAATTATAGAATGACTGTTGTCGACGTCATAAAGGTTAAGAAGGGAATTTCTCGCAATTATGTGCAGCAAATAGAAACAGCATCTGTCTTGCATTATCGGCAATTCGACCTATGAATTTTTTAGGTTGCGATATGCAACAGAACTGATGTCGAGATTGTAGCCATGTAGTACTGTATGGCTTTCGCCTGTTCAAGAAATGGCTGCCTCCTTTTTTGTTGCGGAATTTTGTAAACATACAGATTGTGTTCTGTTGTGAAGTCAGAAAATTTGTGAGCGAAAACTAGGGTGTTGAGTGTTAGTTCTCAGTGCTGGCTCAGAAAATCAGAAGGCGTTTTAGTTACGTTTTATTTTACATTTATTTCTACAGTTACGAATTGGACTAAGTGTATTTTTAGAAACGGCTCTTTGATCAGTATTTTTAGCAAGGATGTTCCAGTACTCATCAGGTTGTTTATTGCCTGCTAGGTTTAGAAGTTTAGCGGATAAAAAGGGAACTTTAGTTTTTGGGAGTATGGTGAGTACTTCTCTATAGCGATGGCATGTCTTTTTAGGACCTCTTTTTAGGACTTTTGTTTTGTTTGATTACATATCTTTTACTAAGGCTTAGTATGCTGTCATGAATAGTAGGAATATTTGCTATTTAATGTATTAATGCGATAATCACGTTTTTTGCCCTAATTATTCTCAGGGTCTCTCGGTTGTCATGGTTTGATTGAATTTCTGTTTGTTTATCGTTATGTAGATTTTAGCTCTGTATTCGATAATTGGTCTTATAAATGTTTTACAAGTGTGAAGAAAAGTAACATGATTGGTGTTCCTAAACTTTACACTAAGTCCTTTTAGGAGATTGGCTCTGTTTTTTACCCTGTCTAAGGTGTTTTAAAGTCAATGCTCCAGTTGTTTCCAGTTTCAAGTGTCTTTGAAAAATCGACACTGATGATTTGTAATTAAACCGTTCTCCATGGAGCAAGATGTGGATGTTTTGTTTGAATTTTTTTCTGAACAGGATTAGCTCTGTTTTTGCTGAATTGAGTGTTACTGTCGATTTGTTACACCACTTGACTATGGTGTCAAGTTGTGCTTATGTTCTTTCGAGTAAAAAGCGTTCTCTACTAGTGGAGGTCCTGCTGAGAGAAGGGCCGTGTCATCAGCACATCACAGGCCTTTAAACTGGATAGTCTGAGTAGACAGGTAGAAGAAAGTTATTCTTAAGTTATAAGACTTCTAGGTCTAAAAATATGCCTATAGCTTGCCTGTTATGCTCGTTAATTACATGAGATGTGAAAGTTGATGCTTTTATTAACGCGTTTTGTATGAAGTGACCAGTTCTGAATCCAAATAGGATATTTAGGATCAGGATGATGTTGTATGTTTCTAGGTGTTCTACGAGTTTTTCCTTGAGATCCTCTTGCAAATATTGTCAAGAGTATTTAGTACCTAAAGATATATCTTTATTCTAAAGATCCTAAAGATCCTAAGAATCCTAAAGATCTAAGATAGATCTTTAGGATTCAGCACTGCTGAGATTTTTCTCTGATCTGGGGATTATAATTGTTTAAATTATTTTCCAAGGAATAGGATAGTTGGGCGTTCTGTGTTATCGAGAAGATAATCTCTGTTTCGGTATCTATTCGAAATCGCTGTTTGAAGTTTGGATTTGAAAGATTCCAAATCTTTAAAAATTTCAGTCTTATCTGCTGGATTTTTATAATTTGATTGTTGAATTTTAAATAAAACCCATGTTGGGTTTTTTGGTTAGTTAGGATTTTTAAATTTTTGTCAAAATTTGCCTCCGTCTCGGTAATCTAGACTAGCCGTAAGATTTGCAGCTGCATGATTAAAAAAAAAAGAAATGTATAACATAATATAACATATAGTAACAGTTCATTCAAAATAACTGCATACAATTCGCTAAACATTGGAAAAATGATTGCAGTTCTATACTAACTCAGTATGTTCTTCTCGAAAATAAGTACAACATTCTGAAATTGAATATTGCTACTCGCCATTTAAATTCTTTTTAATATTTTTAAACAAATCTTATTTACTTACCAACACAACTTCTTGGTCCAGCTGAGAATGGAATGAATGAATAGTAGTGTCTGTTAGCACTGCGTTCTGGCAAGAAATTATCTGGATCAAATTTTTCGGGATTGGGGTAGGTGTCAGCATCACGGTGGATCTTGAAGGTGGCTACCACAATGGTTGCTCCAGTGGGAAGAGTGTAATTTCCAGAAACTAAAATAATAGTAAAAAAATAAAAATATTATTTTGGTAAAAGAGTAAATATTTTTCAAAAATGGTCACCATATTTACTTATAAAATGTTTCACTACAATTTGAAACTACAATCATATTATAATATAAGCAATAATATTGAAATCACTAATACGCTGGTTATATTTACTCTAATTCAAATCGAAAGATTGATAAGGCGTTGTGCGCCTGAGATATAGGTGACCTTACATACCTCTAAGCTACAGAAAGTTTCTACATTCCATTGTCCAATCATAATTCTATTTCGCTAAATTTGTTTATCCTTTGATCTTCTTGAGATTTCTGTTATTAGGGTTCCATTTTCACTATTCATTGTTTATACATATTTATGACATCCAACTTAATCTTATTACCTTTTCCTCTTTCGCCGTGTCCCTTAGTTTTTTTTGTAGTGTTGCTTCAGCTTGTTTTAAATCACTTTCAATGAAATACTGGGTTCCTCTGAGTTTGTTTATTATTCTTCATATTAAGTTATATTTCATAGCAGTAGATATTGTAATTGTAGGACACTTATTATACTAACATAAATCATTTTGAGACTACTACTGCCATCTATCAAATAAGTGTATAAGCTCCTGTCTGGCTTTAAGATTACTGCAAAATTATGATAGATATCTTCTTCCCAGTATTGACAACTTGAAAATTCAATTGCTTTATTATTTATAATCTTTTTATTGTGAAGTTTAAATTATTTAGATGGTACGTACATAATTTTGGTTAATAATGCATCAATTCGATTCATGAAAAAATGTATGTCGACCTTAGGATATAAAATCAGAAGAGAACTTATAGTCCAGTCGAAATCTGTAAAAATAGTTACAAGTTGAAAGTTGGTTATAACAGTTGGAGCTGGAGCTTAGATTTTTATAGAAATGTCTCAGGAAGTTCATCTATAGCTATAATTATTAAGATATGCTCTATGTCAAAAATACATGAAAAATTCAAACTAATTTTGTACCCCTGTTTATCTTATTACCTTTTCCTCTTTCGCCGTGTCCCTTAGTTTTTTTTGTAGTCTTGCTTCAGCTTGTTTTAAATCACTTTCAATGAAATACTGGGTTCCTCTGAGTTTGTTTATTATTCTTCATATTAAGTTATATTTCATAGCAGTAGATATTGTAATTGTAGGACACTTATTATACTAACATAAATCATTTTGAGACTACTACTGCCATCTATCAAATAAGTGTATAAGCTCCTGTCTGGCTTTAAGATTACTGCAAAATTATGATAGATATCTTCTTCCCAGTATTGACAACTTGAAAATTCCGTTATTGAAAATTGCTTTATTATTTATAATCTTTTTATTGTGAAGTTTAAATTAGTTAGATGGTACGTACATAATTTTGGTTAATAATGCATCAATTCGATTCATGAAAAAATGTATGTCGACCTTAGGTTATAAAATTAGAAGAGAACTTATAGTCCAGTCGAAATCTGTAAAAATAGTTACAAGTTATAAATTGGTTATAATAGTTGGAGCTGGAGCTTAGATTTTTACAGAAATGTCTCAGGAAGTTCATCTATAACTATAATTATTAAGATATGCTCTATGTCAAAAATATATGAGAAATTCAAACTAATTTCGTACCCCTGTTTAACCTTTTATACTGAATATCTCGTAAAGTTTCATAACTATGTACAGTACAGGCCATGTAGGAGTAGGGCTTAATATTCTTATACTGTCGATAAGATCCCTAAAATTCCATAATTAATTTTTTTTATCTATCAGTACCTTTCTTTTTTTTTAACATCAGGGTTCTCTCTATTCGGATTGCCGAATATAGGCCTCTCCTAATATTCGCCATTTATCTCCGTTGTTTGTACGACGTTTCCACATTGGTCCTGCTGTTCTTTTAATATCGCCGCTCCAGGGCATTTGCGGTCTTCCTCGTGGTCTTTTGGTTTGATATGGCCGCCAATTCCAGATTTCTTTATTCCGTCGGCCATCCTTAAGACGTTCGTTATGTCCAGGCCATTTCCATTTCAGTTTAGTTGTCTGTTCGACAGCATCTTTTACTTTTGTTCTATTACGAATGTCTTTATTGGTTTTATGGTCTTTGAGTGAGATACCCAATGTCGTTCCATAGCCCTCTGAGTTTTTCTGATCTTCTCCATATTTATTTTAGTGAATGTCCAGGCTTGAGCTCCATATGTAAGTACAGGTAGGATACAGGAATTAAACACTTTGGTACGCGGTCTTTGAGGTATATTTTTATTTTTAAGTATGTATGAGAGTCTTCCGAATGCTGCCCATCCAATTTTCACACGTCTGCTTATTTCAGTAGTCTGATTTTCTTTGCTTACCTTGACACTTTGATCCAGATATATATATTTATCTACGAGTTCTATCTCTGTCCCTTGGGTGTTTATCATAGGCTTGTCTTCTTTGTTTGACATTAGTTTAGTTTTGCGGAAATTTATTTTCAGTCCTTTTTTAGGGATTCTGTGTGTAGCTCCTCAATAATCGTATTCACTACATTCCACGGGTCGGCTATTACTACTACATCAACTGCGTATCTAAGATGGTTCAAGTATCTTCAGTTAATAGGGATTCCCTTATTTTTTTAGTCTATTGACTTAAAGAAATACTATTTAATTAATGTCTATTCGAAGAAACACACCTGAACAACGAAATACTGCTAAAACAACACTAATACACAAAAGCAAAACATTACAGACCTGAAAAATTATCGACCAATTTCACTTCTTTCACAACTTTACAAAGATTATTACAAACAGGTTAACAATTATTTGACGGATATCAACCAGGAGAACAAGCTGAATTTAGAAAAGGGTACAGCACCTGTGATCATCTATATACTTGAAAATCCTAATAGAAAAGACTAACGAATACAATCTCCCATTATGTCTGGCTTTTATAGATTATGAAAAAGCTTTTGATAGTGTAGAACTGTGGACAATAAAAGAAGCATTAGTCAACAACCAGATTGACTCCAGGTACAGAATATTAATACATAATATTTATGTGACATAATAAGCTGAAATGATAGTGACGTTAAATAATGGAATCGAAATAAGACCAATAAAAATCAACCGAGGCGTAAGACAAGGAGACACCATATCTCCAAAATTATTTACCTTGCTTTAGACTGTCCAAATTGCTCACCGCGGTAGGTCTTTTCTGTATCTCAAATATATTTTCAAGCGTATGGTATTGGGTATTATGGTTTTAGTATTTTTAATGACTGTTGGATAATCTGCCTCCATTTGTTTTTGTTTATTGCCTTATTTTTCAATTTGTGATGCAAGTTCTCTTTAAATCTTTTCCGTCTGAGTTTTGCACTTCATTCTTATTTGATATCTCGTCTTTGCATTCTTTTTACTGTGCTAGTTATAAGATTTTTTGTATTCTTCTATTTTGATTTTTTTAGATATCCTAAAAACCTTTACAGTAGATTATTGGTGTAACTATTCTAGCTCCTTATTTGTCCTTTTTATCCATAGTACATTGTATATCGAGTGCACACCAAATTAACTAAATATGAAGCCTGTTCAGAGAAAATAGTCTCAGTTGAGATGTCGTACTAACAGAATGACAAAAGAGTAAAATACAGGTAGTAGAAATGATACAAATATCTGCAACGAGTTCGATGAGTTATTAGAAAAGATAGACTACGGAACACTCAAATAAGACAAGATTAGCTAATATAGTCAACATTAGAATATATAGAAAGAAGGCAACTCAGTTGATGAGGTCATCTTCAGAGAATGAAGAATACAAAACCCGTGAAAGAAAGTTGGCAGGCAAAATCCCAAGAAGCAAACGTAAGGTAGACCACGACAAACATGGGATCCCTAGAAAACATTATCGAAAAAGTTAAACATGGACAAGCAAGGGCGCTGGCCAGAAATAAGAAGAAGTTGGCCAAAATTTGTACATAATGTAAATTTTCAGTAGAATATAGTTAAATTTACAAATAAGATTAAGTTTGATATTGATATTGAATTGTATTTGTATTAAGTGTTTTTTGAAAATAATTACATATACTGCTTATATTTTACTCTCAAATATTTTTCTTAATTCTCTTCTGTCGGATATTTTTGGCATATCCTGTTGTTTTGGATTAGTTCCCACCTTTCTTAGGCGTATGTAACTTCCCTCTTATCACATAAAACTCCCTTTGTTTCTTCGAACTTGTACATTTTTTGTTTTGCACGTTTTGATGTGTATATAATCCTTTTTTTATTTTCCTATTGTTTGTTTTAGTTTTTGTTTCCGTTTTGTACGGTATAACTGGTTGGTATTTGAAAAATAAATTGATATCTCTTGCTAGCATTCAGTATCCTACAGTAAATAAAAAGTAATGTATCCCCCTTATCATTTTAGATACTCTGGTATGGAAAGGTAAACTGAAAAAATACAGCCTAAGTGAGGTGCACAAATTATAGTTCAGAAAATACGAACTGGAGGTTCTGTCATCCATAAACCGCAATATACATTATTTGCGAAAGTAATTTGCTTAATGATCTGAGGCAGACATACATCGGTCAACCAAAACATAAACCGGAAGAGATAAGACTTCTGGCTCTAGTTGAAAGCACAGGATATATTAGGCCAGTTTAATGGGTGCGGTAATAGTGTAATAGTGGAAAGTTTGACGACAGGGTATGGTCTGTCCAACAATATTGTTAGGTGCCTTGACTGAGAATAGAATAAGATTCTAAAAAAAATTAAGAGACTTGGTAACTTCAATTGAACGTGGTGAAAGTGATATGATTTGAATAGACTTGACGACATTTTGATGGCCATTTTGACAGGGAAGACATTTTAATAATTTCTTTAACAAAATGCATCTCATCTCAAAGTACCAAAATATATCATAACGGGGTCCGGCACATAAAGAATTAACTAGAGCATTGCCAACACCACAGAAATGATCTGCAGAATTCAGGAAGTCACAAATAAAATATATCCGCATTGAAAACATAAAGAATAAAGTGCACATATTCGTAGACAATATAAAAGACAATATATAAACAACTTAATTATTAAATTGAGTAAACTAGGACACACAAAACAGAAAACTTAGGTGATATGGCAAAATATATGCGATTTCGAAAGAGATATATCGCGATTGAATTTTAATTTGGACCGATCAATGAAAATGAGATATGGAAAAACGAGATATAATCACAAATTTTACCAGTTTTACTATAGCAGGATTCAGAATTCGTTAGAATGCAGAGTCTTCAATTGGCTGGCCATTTTGGGAGAATGACGCCGATTTTTAAATATTATCTATTACTAGGCAATTAGTGCAAAAATTCAACATATGTTTTGAACATTTTTTTAATCTTCTAAGTGACAAAAATGTTTGTAATTTACACGTTAATAAACACACACTCCAACTTTTTTAGTTGTTTCCTTGATTAAAATTACTTGATTAATTACTTATTTTACCTAACCAATTATAGGTTTTTCTCAATACTAAAAGTGTGTTAATTTGTCCTGTATTTTAATAACAATGAGGAGCTAACATTTTTCAATGAGTTTGAAAAACAATTTAATTAAAATATCAAATTGATATGTTTTGATCAAATACTTATAGCTATTATATGATAATAATTTTTAATATTAAACTGGCTAGATAGATTAGTAATATTAATAAATTTATTTATTGCCGTGAACTGTAGATAAAACACTGAAATCAAATTGGAAAATCAACTGGAAACAAGAAAGCGAAACAGTTTAAACCATATTTTCAAAGATAAAATGCAACCATGCCATTGTGGACAATCATTTTGTCTTCTGCTATTACCCTCAATGTACTATTAAGTATATGACACTTTCATGACACTCCTAAATGTGCTGGATAGCCAATTTTTTGACGAAATGCCCCTGAAAATGCTCTGAGAGCGAAAGTACTTAGACAAGATATAATAAATGAACTGTGCTCGATATTTGATAATTTTATTTGTAAAATTCATATATGCGAGCATCAAGCCATATCTTGTTTAATATCATACTCACCTAATTTAACGTCTTGTCTAAGCTGTCTGGCAATAATAGGTACTGGTGGATACATACGAAGAGTTTCCATCATACACCTTTCTAAGTACTTCATTTCTAAAGTATCGGCAAAGGTAGCAGGTCTATCAGAGTCTCCAAAGATATCATCGATTTCTTGGATGACCCTGTCTTGAATGTCCTGGTGAATTCCCATCAAAGATAGGAAGAAACTGCTTCCAGCAGCTGTGGTATCGTGTCCCTCGAACATAATGGTATCGACTTGCTCTTTAATTTCTTCGTCGTTTATCACGACACCATTCTGGGAGGCTTCAATCAGCAAGTCTAAGAATGCCATCCTTTTCTTTTCTCCAACGTCTTCGTCGACGTCCAAGTCATCTTTTAATCCGGCAGACTGACCGTAGGAAAGGCCTTCAACAACAGTTTTGGAAGCTACATTCTTTTCGTATTTTTGCGTCTTTGCATCTTCGGGTACTTCAGCAGTGGATCCACGTATTCCTAGAATATAGAGTGAACAGTTATTCTTGATTTATTGAAAACAATGTTACATACCTTTCTCAAAATCTGCTCTCTTCTTTTTAATAACTTTCCTAGTCAAACTGTGGATGGTGTTGATAAGACCTTCTTGGTACTTGGCGTATTTGGTGAAGTTGAAAATTAAATCAGGTCTGAGCCAGATTTTGGTATGACGAATGTGCAAAATGTCACACATTTTCATAACAGCTAAAGCATAATCGTATCCACTCTGGTCCTGTGTCTTCTTACTTACACCCATAGCTGTCTCCAAAAGCATCTCTACAGTGGCTTCAGACATATAGTCATGGCAATCAAATTCCTTTCCTACTTCTTTTTTAAGTTTTTGAACGACATCTCTGGAGTTGGCATTGAAAAGGTCAATGAAAGATTTCAAGACATTCAAGTGGAAAGTGGGGGCGATGAGTTTTCTATGAGCTCTCCATTTTTGTCCAGTGGAGATGAGAAGGCCGTCTCCCAACCACGGCTTGAAGAATCGATATTCACTGGCTTTGTCGATGTGTACGTGACTACTCAGGATGATTTCTACGTCCCTTGGGTCTGTCAAGAAAATGAGCAGTTTGGGACCTACCCAGAGTTTAACTACTTTTCCGAATTCGAAGGATTTCTGGTATACTGTTCTGAATATATCTGAAATAAATAAGTATGTATATAGTTTGGAGCTTTACATTTATGTGAAAACCCTTTATGGGGTTATATAAAACTAATTTCAATTCACTAGTATTTATTGGAAAAGTAACTCTACATTTTATATAGCCGATAACAAGACCGGATAAAAGAGAAGTAATAGAGAAATAACCCCTCTATAATCATGGTTTGGTTGGCTCGGCTGGTAACACTCTGTAAGATCCCTTGTATAGGGTCACCGATGAAGACCTCAACAGCGATGAAATTGGAGAACAAGAATATTTGAAACGACGAATTTAGGAGAAAGGGTTCCTTGAACTGTTATGAGTATAAGTAATCCTCATATTGTTTGCCAATAGCTTAGCCAAATACAAAATATTTCGTAAACATATACATACCTAGCAAACATAAAGTTTTTAGACAAAATTAAAAAATATATAGATAAACACCCTCCTTCTTTTTGCCTCAACAGTCAGCAAATTGAAAGTGTACTTGAAAATTGCTATGGTTGCTTTGATGTACAGACGATGGCGAGTGCTTATATCCCAGACTCTTATCAACATGTTGGAATAAATGCACCCCCATTTAGAAGATAGAATAACAAAATATAGCTGCCCAAAATTAAGAAAAAAAATTGCTGTACCACTCGATTTAGTCATTTTGGATTCTGAAATTGATTCATATACTTGTTAATTTTGCATTTTTTTGCTTAATCAATATATAATAATTTATGTATAATAAAATTTTACAGTGGAATCTAAATAGGATTTAAACTCGTTTACCTATGTTACAACTATTAATCAATCAATATACACCACAAATTATTTGTCTTTAAGCAACTAATTTTATAAGTTCCACCTGCGTGAATCTAAAATCTTTCAATTCACACTTTAAAGACAGAGACACTGTTGATCACGCGTTAGGTGGAGTTGCAATTTATGTAATATTCAAAGAAATTCTAATAAACACAAGTCTCGAAGATTTAGCTGTAGAAATTGGTATTATCGGCACATCTCGAGAAATTATCATATTGGGAGACTTAAATAGCAGAACTAAAAAAAACACATATCGCAGCTATAAATCACGTAAATGATAATGGTACCAGACAATATTATTATGAGAACAAAATGAAATAAAAATTGCAATTGAATTTTTTTAATACAGAGGCATACACAAATACACATGAACGCAAAATACAAGAGGGTTAAAATCAATTATACGACAAAAGACAAATATGATTGTACACGTTAAGAAGAGCTACCTGTGGAAGCGATCATCACTTATTAAAAGCTAAGATCACATTTGGAGTAATTACTACCCTAAAGAAGAAAAAGAAAGAAATGAAAGGGAGAAAGTAATACAGAAGAGGTATAACCTATAACCTAATCAGCTTAGAACAAGAAAGCGTGAGAGAATCATACAGAAATAGATTAAATCAAAAGTTGGAAAACAATTTAATAATAATTAAGAACATTACACTCACATAAAAACGTGTCTCCAGGAGGTAGCAACAGAAGCCAATGGATACTAAATCCAGAATCAATTCCATATTAGTTTGACAAAGAAATAGAACAAGAAGTAAAGAAGAAAAGAGACCAATATCGAAAATTCTTAAATATAAAGAATGTAATGGATAAAATAATCTACAAGGAGTCTTAAGCTAAAATGCTTAAGCTTAAACTTAAAACGAAAAATGATATGTTGGAAGAAAAATGAGGCATGGCAACAAAAGTGTAACATGATAAATTCACATCTAGGAAAACGAAGAAGCATTAAAAGTTGGAGAGTCTTAAAATCTGTCAACAATCTGTCTCTGGAGAGTGTCAACAATAACAATGGATAGGTGGGACCAATATTTTGAAAAATTCCTAAAGGAAAATAGACCACAATTTAAAGACAGCAACGGAACACAAAATATAAATATTTTAACTTCACCCATACGAATAACAACGAAAGAAGTGGAAGATGTATGTAGATCTCTAAAAAATAACGAAGTAATGGATCCAGGTAACATTACTGCAGAGTTAATTAAACACGGTATAACCAAACTATATACAAGTTTGGTTATACCGTGGTTATAACGTTTCGACGTTCCTGAAAGGCACTTAAGTTTAAAGGTAGGAAAGAGAGGCGGCTTACAAAAGGGTTTTTTTTTAAGTTTAAAGTTTTTATTTATGGAGAAGAAGTAATAGAGAAGTTTTAGTTTGGGTTTTTTTTATAAGTGTCCTGTTTGTTTTAAAGCCACCTTGATCTGCCTACCTTTGGGAGACAAACAGAAGTCGGGGGAAGAATTTTTTGCTTTTGTTTTTTTTTTTGGAATAATTTTAAACAAGAAGGATTAATTTGAAACCTAGTCCGGTTACACCTGGTTCCGGGCCTGTTTTTTTTTCTTGCCGTAGCTGCTCTCCAGAGGTCCAGATCTAACCTTCTGATTGCCGAACAATTTTTAAGAAGTCAGCGGGAATTATCTCCCTTTAAAATATAGTAAACCTGGATTGAGTTTGTTTATTAGCTTTAATTTTTTTATATATAATATTTTTTGTTTTAAACGTTTAATCATACTTTTTTGCTTAATAATATAAAGAAACCATTATTTTTTCCCGAAATAATACTTAATTATAGTTAGAGACTAAGTAGGTTGACGTCTTCAATCCTCCCTGTTAACTCATTTGTATGGTTTCATGTGTACACATTTAGAGCGTTATTTTTTTAAAGATTTTATTATTATTATATATTTAAACGTTTGGACATTTATCTCGTCAAGATAGTGTCCTTATTACTTGTTACAATTACATTCAATTGAAAGCCAAAATACAGAGTTGCATCTCTGAGGCAAGTAAATTACCTTTTTTAGGTCAATCATTACCATTTTTTCCCATATTTTATTATTTGTAAATTTAGATCATCAAGGATCAGTTGGGTATAACCAGGGCATTTATTTTTTGTATATAATTAAGTTGACTGTACATAATTGGTGGTGGGTATTTTAAGATAAATTTATATTGTATATATTTGGCTAGGGATTAAAGTTTTGGTGAAAATTAAATATTTCAATTCATACCTATATCCTTTTTTTTATTTCAGCACATAGCTTTACAAGATACCTTGGAGAGTTTATGTAAATACTTTCCTGGCGCTCACTCACATTTTGGAGCAACTTCCATAATCACTTTTATTTATCTTAGTTATATTCCTATAGTTTTTTTTATAACCTTGTAATTCATTTTCTTATTCTACGGTCTCTGTAGGGCATGCAAATTGGCCGATTCCTCCTTTGAGTGTCAAGTAGTCACTCTCCGGCAATTTCTGCTAGCCAGCTTTAAAATTGTATGTTGTCTTTTACTTTACCCCCTTGTGTTTCATTGCATACACACTTTTGTTATATTCCTACACATTTTTTGTTACACTGGCGCCCAACAATATGTACAATCTTTTACAATTACATGTAATTTAAAGGGTTTTTACCCTGGTATTTTGGTGGCTCAGGCATTTTAACCTAGCAATTTTAAACCTGATGATGGACTGTTTAGTCCGAAAACGTTTGTTTTTTTTATGTAGCCCTTTTAAGGGTTTTTAAATAAATATACCCATTTACGAAGTTTAACCTCTTTTTTGTGATATATTTTTTGTGGTATACAGCCAGCTACAGGAATTGTTTTTCTTGTGGATTTTATATACAAGTTTAGCCAAACTGTTCCAAAAGTGCATTATTGGAATGACAACCCCAGAGGATTGATAGACATCATTCATATCCACTATACACAAAAAGTTTAGGGCAGGCAGATCTACTGTTGACTATTTATTTTGCACTACACAGATTATTGAAAAGAAAATAGCCGTTAATCAAGAAGTACATTTATTATATGTAGACCTATGAAAGGCCTATGATAGCTTACCACAATATAAATTATGGGAAGCGTTAAGGTGGGTACACATATGCTCCGAATACCGTCTCGAACCCCGTCGCGTACAGCGACGCGATCAACAAAAGTTCGCGACGTTGTTACAGGGGGCATTGAAATAAGTAACGAACCGAACACCGCTCCGTACTTTGTACCAAACATTTTAGCGTTCCAGCAGTAATTGAGTTGAATTCGCATGTGCAAGATGGATGTTGCTGCAGCAGCATACATTCTTATGCATTATTCAGTTAATAAAACGAAAAATATTCGTGAAAGGAGATGGTCCATTCCATTTTGATGCACTCAACTTTAAAAACACCGTCAACCTTCAAAATAACAGACTGACTATTTTGAATGACTGGAGATTCGATAAAAGATTCGCAAGCTAGTCCAAACATGAATTCGCGGTGTACATTGCTGCGCTCAAATTTCTTTTGATGCGTAGGTATTTTACCGACAACCGATGGATCGCTTCGATGTACGTTGTTGACGCGTCGAGGTACGGTACGCGGTTGCATGACTCCGTCCACACTTAAGAACGCGACGGGGTTCGAAACGGCATTCGGAGCATATGTGTACCCACCTTTAGAGAAAACAAACATAAGCATGAATTTAATAAATGCGACAAAGGAACTGTACGCTAATGCTAATTCAAAGGTAAAGGTTGGAAATAATCTGTCAAGTGGATTCCAAATGAGCAGGGCTGTTGTCTCTCCCTGACATTATTTACAATTTATCTAGAACAGGCTCTAAAACTATGGAAACGCAAATGTAGAAATATGGGAATGCCAATAGCATATACACTTTAGAGATAGCAGAGATATTGAGTATGTGACTCGAAAATTAATCGAGGAGTATAAAAAGTCTTCTAATGAGGTCAATGCTTCTCTCAAGGCGTGCCAAAATCCAAATGTAGAAAACCATAATACGACCAGCAGTGACATATGGAAGTGAAACATTGAGAAAGAAAGAAATCAATAAGCTATTAGTATGGGAACGCAAAATCCTGCGAATTACATATGGTCCTTGTAGGGACAGCGTGACAAATGAATGGAGGAGCAGATACAACAATGAATTAGATACTCTCTTCGAGAAAGGAAA